ACCTTAAGTTTAAAGGACAATGTATTTGCGTTTCGTTTACTATTAATGTGAAATTAAACAGATCATTGTATGTCACAACGCTTCGTTAGTAATGTACTTACCTATATAATAATGGAATAATTGTATATATATAAAACTTCCTCGATTTTATAACTTCACCATGTCGATATTAAAAATTTGTGCCGGGTATATATTTACACAAAGACTTTTTTTACTTAAGTTATATAGTTTATTAATTACTTATAAAAGTCTTTGTTTCAACTGTTTATTAGACTGCATGGATCTTTATGTGGGTATTTTTAGAAATAACCAAACAATCTGTACTATTGCTTTTACCTGGAGAACTTTTTCAGTAAATTGGTCTGTTAATGTATTCTTGAATATGCATTTCTATCAAGTAACCAGCAAAAATGGGTGGCAAATCAAATTTTGGTCACTATTAAGTGCTATAAAAACATTAAGAAAGGATTTTAATAAAAAACTTTAGATGCGGTATTATGGCTTACAATAAACATTAAACAGTTTATTAGGTATGTTATTACATTATATCTATTGTTAAAAGAGTAACAGTAAAAATGACAAGAATATGAGTAACATAACATTTTCTCAAAGTTTTTTTTTTAAATCATGGCAATGGAAATCTAAAATTTATTTGGAAATAATCGCATTAACATTTGTAGAATCGTTTTTAAATTCAACCACACATTCTACAGACTATTACAATAGCTGAACGGAAATGACGATCTTTGGTTATTTGAAAAGATACCCACGAATTAACATCAAGTGAAACACTAGGTATCATGATGATGAAACATGAGTGGGTGAGAGACAGAGTCACTGCTGGCAGTGAGTACAAACTATCGAATTTTGTCATCTTTCAAAAATTTCGTGTTAATTTTGCAATTGTGTCAAAAATATTCATTTGCTCTTAAAATTCTATAGTGGTTAAACTATAGTATAGTGCATTTTAAATAAATATACTATATATCTCCAATGTTAGCTGTCACGGATCTTGACACGTATTATAAAGAATAATGTGACACATTGATCGGCATGTGCCGAGACCTTTGAAGGAGGTTTGTAGCTGTAAAAAGATGTAAAAGATAAAATCACTATATCGTGACCTACACTATACCATTTTAAACGCCAATTTACCTCTTGATTCATATTAGACTGCTTCATTTCAATTTGTGGTGCTACTTTCTCATCTATTTTGGCAATATATCAGTTTCAATTTGATTTTTATCCACAAGCAAGCTTAACTCACTTTATGCTGGAGGTAATGAGTTATCAAGTGATCTGACAATGATATCTAGCAGTTTTTCTTAATCATTCTTTCCACATTTCATTCTTGCACTAATTTATTTAATATAAAAATTTAAATTGGATCACTTCAGCAAGTATGACACAGTAACTCTATAAAATTGGCGTTTAAAGTCCCCCCCTCTCAAACTTACTAAATAATAAAAGAATAAGATAGATTTTAAATTTGTATTTTAATCGTTATAAATTTTAAGAACTATTTAAAATAGTGCACGAGCACTTTCCATAAAGGCTAAAGGCTATCAAATTCTTAATATTTTACAGTCGACAAAATCGCACAATAACCTAATAACGCGCACGCTGGTTCAAATAACGTATTACTTGCCATATGATCCTATTTAACATAGTTTTGCAAAATGGCGCCCGTCCGCCATTTATATTTATTAATTATGTTTGATGGTTCAACCAAGCGTTGAAGGAGAGAGGGACTTCAGAGCTACGCACTGTATAAGTTATTGATAGTCATCTCAAAGAAATTACCAATGATAGTTTCCTGAGATTTGATAACCAACATATCTTTAACTTTCTGTACATGCTGATTTGGCTGCTCTTGAAGCAATTCAAATGGTGATTTATCAACAGCTAAGTAAGATCAGTGAATGTCGATTGTATTGTGGACAACAGGCATTGGAGGTGATTATGTCTGCTATCATTATAACATAGACTGAGAGTACTGCAATATCTCATATTTTACTTACTTTTTTTTTAATTTTAAAAAGAAATGTATTATAATTGTTGAAAGATGATTCGATTCGAAACTATAGTCTAAAGGAGTCAACCGACTGCTGAGTGACATAACAACTTTTTCCTGAAGTCTTTGTACCATTAATTATTTTGTACACTTACTGGGTAAAGTTTAATACATGGTGAATCTCTATCTAATATAAAACTCTGCAGACATCTCTCTTCGCGACAATAAATAAAATATTTACTTCTTGAACAATTTTTAAACCAACAACTTTCTACAATGGAAAGGCCATCCAAATATTAGAATCACATCATAATCTAGACTTTTAATATGTAAAATTACTGGCAACTCTTCCTATACAATACATAAATATTGCCCATATCATTTTTACCTGATAACATAAGGTATAAGGTTGACTCCTGAGTAAACAAATATGTGCTTTTTTTAAGTCCAGTTTAAAAATAAGACCCCTAATTATATTAATCATTAACAATATATACTTGTTCATGAGCTGAACCTATGAATGACAATTATTGCAATTTTTTTAATATTTAATGTCACTACTTGAAATTGAAATATATTTTGTTTTTTGTGCTATCTTAGCATATTCTAAAATCGCTGTATACAATATAAAGATCTTCAATACAATACTCACTTTTCGTAAAATTTCTAGCATTTGAAGATTACGATCTAAAATGTAATAGACATACGTCAGCTGCCATAACGTCACATCATTAATCAGCTGTCAATTGTCTACAGCATAGTCTCCAGGCTGTCTAGCTCTACTAAACCGATACGTTGCAAGATTGAATTTAGTAAAATAAAATGAAACTTTAGAATTTTATCCTGAACTGTAGAGTATTGTATAACTTTATAAATTAGGGGGTATTATGTCCAGCATATTCCTCTAATGTCGCAATCTTTGTTTATATTTTAAATATAAATTGTCCACTTTTTTACAAAGAATCAGCTTTTAGAAATATTGATGAAGATAGCATAAATATATGATAATTTTCAATTGCAAACATAAATACATCAATTTTTATACAAAAAATACTTTTTGCTTCACGAACAAGGATATAATAAAAATAAAATGAATTTGAAAATGAATAACGATAAATAAATTTGATTAAAAACATAAATTATACAAATAATAAATACAAAAATCGATTATAATATATGAGTTGACTCAAAGGTTAACTTGGACTTTTAAGGCAATAGATGGCGCTGAAATTATGTGTGTCTAAACAAAATACTTCTGTCTCGTTTTTTATGAAAATATGTTTATCTACATCGATGAAAAATATGTTTATATGCACGTTATTTAAATGTAATGCTTGGCGCAAACCAACAGAACACAAAAACTATTACAAACAGAAAATATTAACGCTTGTACTACAGATTAAACGACTTTGATAAGTAGTGTAATCTAATTTTAAAATAGTTTGAAGATAGTTAAGCTTAAATTAAAAATAAATTCTCATCATCAGGAAGTAAAATACTCAAGACGTAGAACTACTCAATATGACAGGCATAAAAATGAAATCAGCAGATCAAATAATTTATGTAATGTTAATCTCAAGCATTGAAGATATAATTCAAAGAAATAAAATACGCAAATTGCGAGACATTGAAAAATCAAAATTATAGTAGATTGTGGAATTTATATTTAAATGACGCTATTTGGCAATTCAGTTATTTCACAAACCATAAGGGTTGTTGGTAAACATATGTATATTTTATTAAGGAAATTGTAAACAAGATATGCATCTGTTATTCTCTAGAAGTGGTTAAAATCTCAAATCACAACGATTTTGTTCGTGGTGCTCCGAACAAAGTGTATTAAGTTTAATTGCCAACATTAGATAAGACAATAAAGAAACTTTATTATAAACTATCCATTTTTCGATAATGTTTCTAAATATAGACAAAAGACAAAATTGAAATAATACTAAAAGTTTTTTCTACTATTACCGAAAAGAGTACACTACTTGGTTTAAAATGTTTAGTACAAGGTTCCAGAGCAGTTGTGAGCATGTCATCTATCAGATATTGTAAGAAGATTTTTAACTAATTAAAGTGTTAAAATCTCAATTTTTTTGTGTTCTGTTCGTTTTTCTTCTTATCTAGCTGCAGAAATGTCTAATGGCGAAAACTATATCGTATAAAAAATGAGTAGACTATTAACTACACATTCAGTTTAAACATCAATAGTTTTTCAAGGCAGGATAGTCTATTATAAAGAGGTTATGTTATTCTTATACTCAATGCGCACGTGTAGTACAGTGCCTCATCTAAAAATTTGAGATGGCACACGTCGAAAATAGCACAGTTCAAGTCGCTACGTCTGAAATCACTTCACTTTCATATATTTTTTCTTCGGACGGCTGCTGATTTTCTTTTTTCTTTTAAGTTATTGTAATCTTCCCCTTGAAGTAATTCCGCCCCATTGCCAAAATACGGTGCTTTATATCCAAGAATAAAACGGTTAAATTGCACGATTTGGACATTTTACGTTTTACATCTTTCTTTTCTTCTTCATTGTTTAATTTTTCGTTTCTTTTGCACCAGCCCTCAGACTTTTTAAATCCGTTTTTAAGCGGAAAGGCACCTTGAATGGTTTTTTAGTTCAGTCCTGTCCAGTCTTACCAATTAAGTAAGCATATCGCCAAGAAAGGTTCTTATATAAAAGTTTTTCATAGAGGCTTAAAAAATCTACGTATAGTTTGATTCTTAATATGAATAAGTCGAACTACGTCATCCTAACAAATGTTTTTTTTTTTATATTTCTTCTATAGGTGCCGTCGTGTTAGTTTATAAAAAAAGAGTAATATAATATTGTTCACAGCCAGCTTGGTGGTGCTAACGTCATACTGTCTGATTTTCTCTGTCCTTTTTTGCTTCTATATACAACGATATTTAATAACAATCGAACAGTTGTACCTTCGTAGCACCACCCTTTCCGGGGTATCCGGGGGGGTCATGTAGACTATGTCTTCAGGTCGACGTCCCAAATTTCTGCTAAGAACGGGGGTAACTTTTTGTTTTTTAGTTTCAAGCTGAAGCACATTTTCGAGTTTTGGTTTCCCAAAGTCCTCAGCTCTGTCAACACTGATAAGAGTTTCGCGAATACCGTGCCTGGTTTTGGCTTCCTCCTGTTGTCTACGTATGCCCGTAGGGCTTCTAGGTATATTTCCTGGATTTTCTCCACTTTCCAACCTTCAATTAGATCTGGTCGTTCTAAAATAAAGAAATAAAAATGAATATAATTATAATCTAAAAAATATTACGATATATAGTACTATCAATAAATACTAAATAGTATCTAAGTTTTATTTTATTTATAATAAATCCATAAAACATTTAGTGGTGGCAAAAGACTGACTGCAAAATTCATAATAAAATAAGGCTTTATCTTTCCAACCATCCAACCATACCAACTGTTATCTTTCTTTACTGAATTAAAACTATTGTATAAGTAAAGAAATAGATAGATTAGAGAAATCATAACTGAATTTCACGTTCCATGTCGAATGTCACGACTTATGTCGAATGTCACGACTTATGTCGAATGTCACGTTTTATGATACGTATTATATCACGTATTGCCACGTTTTTCGTCAAATGTCACGTTTAAGTAGAATGTCACGTTTTGTCAAATGTTACGTTCTATGCCAAATGTTAAGTTTTATGTCGAAATTCGACAGTCGAATGTCACGTAAAAAAGTTCGACATAAAACGTGTAGATTTGACACAAAACGTGACATAAAACGTTACAATACGTGATATATTACGTGTCATAAAATGTGACATAAAACGTGAGAAAATATGTGACATAATACGTGTTATAAACCGTGACATTTGACATAAAGCGTGACATATGACATAAAATGAGACATTCGACATAAAACATGACATAATACATGACTCTACCAGAAAATGGGGTCAAAGGTTAAAGTGGACTAAAGCGGACTCTACTAAAATATCTAAAAATAAAGAACATTACAGTAAAGAGAAGAGCAGAATGCAGCACATTGCAAATTACTCACGTATTGGATCCCAAAATTTGGAAACAACAAAGATAATCATTGAGAGATACAACAGAAACCAAATACATAAAAAGAAACTCACGAGCATATAATATATACTATACATATACTATACGAAGTAAAAGCGTGGATTCTAAATGAGGACATGTTTAAACGCTTGGAAACCTTTAAGATGTGGTTATAAATACTACTGCAAAAAATAAGCTGTGTCAACAGAGTTAGAAATGAGGTTCTTAGACGGCTGAACCAAACAAAACAACTGGTCAACATAAAAGAGAGACGCAAGTTAAAATACTTAAGTCATATCAAAAATATGACCATTTGTATACCATCACTGGGAACAATCCAAGGTAAACGTGGTCCTGGTAGAAAAATAATATCACAGCTGAAAAATCTGAGACAATAGTACATAAAATGGACTACATAATTGTTTAGAGCTGTTGTCAATAAAGTTTAAAAACATTTTTAAAGATTATACATGCAAGAATATTCAGACAGTGCGGAGCGGATATGAGTAATAGACAGTTTGGCTTTCGTAACGGCTTCGGAACAGTGGAAGCTCTGTATAGTTTCACAACTCTTGCCCAAAATGTCGATACCAACAAAAAGATCTTTTCGTTGCGTTTATAGACTAACGCAACTACTATAGAACTATATAACTTATAGAACTAACATAGAATGTATAAAATTATACATTCCTTAACTATAGTTGTTTGAAGCTCATTCACTTTCTTATTCCTTGCATCTATGGTTTTTTCGGGTATTCCTCTCTTCTGTTTTTATGTAGGTGTCCATATGGGTACTTCTTTCGAGAGTCTACTCTTTCCATTAGTTGTACATGTCCACACCTTATGGTTGTATATATATATATATATATATATATATATATATATATATATATATATATATATATATATATATATTTATTATTGTACCTTCTATTCTATGCTTTCCCTGCTTTCTTCATTATTTATTATATCTCTCTAAATCCTTATCGTTCACCTTATTACATCCATTTCTGTGGTTTTTATCTTTCTTCGTTTTCTTTCTGTTAATGGTCACGTTTCACATCGGTCTAATAATAGCACTTTTTATCAGATTTTTAAAGATAATAAACTTTTTCTTCGTTGTTATATTCTTGTTCCAAAGAATTCTGTTAAGGCATTCTATAGATTCTCTGGCTGTATTATTCTGAAGTCATTTTCTTGAACATATGTTCCTTCTCGATTGAATATTGTTCCTAGATATTTGCTTGCATCATCAGTCACTATTTCATTGTTGTTATCTAGTACAATATTTGCTGTGTCTTTCCAATGTCTGAAATTCTGATATTTTTCGTCCAACTTTCTTATCATGTATTACATATGTTCCTTATCTTTGGCTTTGATGGAATGATCATCTGCAAATTGTAATTTATATGGCCAGGTATCATTCAATTCTATTCCTATACCATGGGAATAGAATTGTTTTTTTCCAAGGAATATCATCTCAAATAAAGTAACAACTGAGGAATTGAAGTAACAACTGAGTTATTGAAATAATTAGCCTTCAAAACAAACATCAGACTTGATGTTGAAAAGATAAGATGATAAAGAAAACTCAGTATGGTAAAGCAAAACAGAAAAACTAGAAAAACAAAAATGAGCATATACAGTATCGTTACAACAAAATCCTTACAGTGTTAGTACGTCTCTTATAGGACTACTAAATGTTAGTGAGTGACATATGGGACTTTTGCCACTGTCCAAGTCAAGATATCTACGTAACTTGTAAAAAACTGAGACTATGGAAATAAAAAAGAACTATGGAAATAAAAATTAAAAATAATCCTGAATTAGCATCATTAAAAAGAAATAGAAATAAAGAAGTAATTAGGTATCGGAATCACTGATGTACAATTAAAAATTTAAATTTCGAAGGAACATTTGTAATGTTTGCTAGTCGTTTCCTACATGTACATCCACCACACTTTGAAAAAGAGATATAGATTTGAAAATGGCTATAAATAGCATTGACTTTCATTAAAAAATAATTTTTAATAAAAATCTAATATCCTACTACGTACCAGAAAATATGACGATGGCTGTGAGTAGCGCGTACTCAGCATTGTCGACTTGCATGGAGTACATGGTCCTACAGAAATGTAACAGATCTTCAATAGTTTCTCCCATGCCAGCGAGGTTGTAACTGTCTCTGGAATATGGTTGATTGTTGACAAATAAAATGGAATCGGTCTGGTAATCATATCGCCTTGCCATCCTGAACATCATTACTTCACTTGAACAAGCCTATAAACATATTTACATAAAAATGTGAATTTTTTTACGTTATATATTACTTACACCTAATATGTAAAACTTTTTTTAATAAATATTCACTGCAGCTGTTAAATGGAAAACATTCACTGACTTTAAATTATATTGTATTTTATTTATAGTTTGAATTTAATCCTTACCTTCAATAGCGATATCTGGTCTTCCCGTAAAAGCTTGTCGAACCCTGGTAACCTTTTAGCAAATTCTACTATAAGTTGTACAGTCAATATCGTAATTTCTGTTATATGTCTAAACCGAACATCACACTGGTCTTCTCCTTCCATCGGTGCATTCTAAAAACAGAAACGAATCAGTTATTACCATCACAGTCTGTACTAAAACATATACCCGAAGGCTAAGGTAGTCTGAGTAGTGAGTGACAAAACAGCGACAGTGACAAGTTGCCAAAGAAGCCTGAGAAGCGATCTAAGGTATTGTCTCTGTGTTGTATGTGTTTTAAGTAGCTTGAGTAGCTAGCTAATTAAGAAGGGAGTCTAAATAGCGGACCAAAATATTATCGAAATCAGGTTTAATCAGTCTGGAGGGCCTGGTGAACATTTGCTTAGGTATGAACAGTACAAAGGAAAAAAAGAAGTAGTTCATTGTAATTTTTTAACGTATTTGTGTAATTGACTACTTACTTTTTGAACCATTAATTTCATATTTTATTTTGATACTAGACGGATATAAAAAAAACTCTTACATATTTATAGTATTTTTATATTCAAAGCAATTATAGACAATAATTAATTGTGAAATTTAACAGTAAGTTTCTTTTTAGCGTACTGCATTGTGTATAAAACTACAGTAGGTTTTCCGTCTACAAGTCTAAAGCCTAATACCTCTTGACAAATACCTTGGTAAAAAGTAAAGAGAAAAACAATATGTAAAAAGTTTATTAAAGCAGGTTCATTAAACATTTTACTGCCTTCTTACAGATTTTTATGATCGTGCTTATAACAAAGTGAACATGGAATTTTCAGAAATGCACTAAAGTATTAAGGGCTTTGTTGATTAAACAACAATTTTTTACTTCTCAAAGATCAATAACATTGGAATTGTGGTTACGTGTAATGAGCTATTGAATAAAATAGAAGAATTTTCTACTTACCACAATTCGTTTGACGTCTTCTTCTGACGGGTGTTCGTATTCGTTTTGGAAGTACACGAGTCGATGTATGAGTTCCTCTTGTTCGGGAGAAATCGCTTTGACGAATCCATTCGGTGTGCCTCCTTTTTCCGAATCCGAGAGCTGAAATAAGAGGATCTACATAGAAATATTAATAATTTTACTGAACGATTCAAAAAAGTTCAAACAAAGGTCGCACCGAAAATACATAATTAATCATAAGTAGTAAAATACGCCAAGGTAATATTTTTTTATAAATAAATAGATGAAATGAGAAGAGTAAAAGTGACTATGCCAAAGTACTAATTATTGTACTACTTATACTTTTAACAAAATTAACACATTCATCACTCAAGGTCAAGGTATGCGTCAAATGTAAGCCCACAATTAGATCTATCATCCAATTTTCTTAGTGAACGATTTCACAAATAATCGAAAAAATCACTTAGATCACTAACCTAAAGAATTTGCCTGTTCCTAGATTTGAATTTTCGTGCTTCACTGTGGATTGAGAGAGATAGAGATATAGATATATATATTGAGAGAGAGAGAGGAGAGGAGATAGAGAGAGAGAGAGAATGAGAGAGAGAGGAAAGAGAGAGAGACAGAATGAGAGACAGAATGAGACAGATAGAAGAGAGACAGATGAGAGAGACAACGAGAGGAGAGAGAGAGAGAGAACAAAATACTTTCCATAAAACTCATAAAAGTAGTAGAAAAGAAGTACAGAAATATTACGAGAAAAACGAGTATACCTCACTCATTACTACCTCTAGGAAATCAAAACTATATGTTGTACACAGAAACAAACAGTAAATTAAAACAGTTACATATATACATACAGTACATACTATGTACAACATTTTAAAAAGGTTAAAAAGTTTTTAGTCCATCAAATAGCCAAGCGGGTCAGGAGGGCGAATCGCATTCATTTTACTGTGAATGATCTAGCGGAGGATGGTTCAGGCAATGGACAGAAAACAAAAAGGCTAACGTTATCGTAGTAATTTAAAATTCTAAATGATCTGCTACTTAGACTGGAATACGGTGGTGTGTCGAATCGACCTATGGATGAGCAATATGGAAGAAACGGGGGCTTGCGATTCGGTGTACTCACTCAAATACTCACTTCCAAACTCACTCCATAGATCACTACCAGACGAGCGTGTACTTATTGTTTCATTATTTTTCGATTGCGCCGTTATTTTAAATTTTGGTACGCAAATCAATAATTTTCTAAATATATTTTTTGCTCTAGCTCTCCGCATACGAGCGTTTTTGGTTGTGTAGCTTCGATCATTGTATAACAATGCCTATAAACACACAGATCAGAGCCTACAAATTGATTTTCTAGTCCGCGTGATAATTTATTCATCATAGGGTTGCAATCTACAAAGATCTAGAGCTAGAAAAAATGTAATTCTCTTTTCTCCAATTAGTTATCTAAGAATAGATACTAAATGTTTGCTGTGACGATTACGATGAGAGAGTCATCGTAATGTTTACTTCCATCTTCGATAGTACTGTACAACCTTATACAAGCACTCAGTTATCTTATGTATCTCCTAATAAGATATACTAAATACTTAACACGCTTTAAAGCTACATATCGTCATAAGTGCTGATTATTAATAATAAAAAGTTATACAATTTGGCAGGTAGTCAAAGATATGTAAGGGTGACAATATGGAAGAAAAATATTTTAAAAGACGGAATTTACTTTATGGGAACGAATGACTCCACTAGGGTTGCTGGCCCTTAGTCAAGGACCAGCTGGCTCTATGAGAACTTGTTGATAGCAAATAATGAAGAAAAATATTTTACTTCCAAAACAAACCAAACGTTGTTGGAATGTTGGTACCTTGGTGCATTTCCACTACTTTAATTGAAATTATATTTAGACTTCTGTTTGAACAAAATGTTTTAAACAATTACATATCACATATACATAAACATTTTTATAACTTTACCCTACAGTCCAGTTGTCAGTGACGAAAATACCACTGAACCTCTAAAAATTATACAATCGAACAAGCTGAATTTGTTCGAGAATATCAGTTTTGGGACCCCAAAAAGATAAAAAAGTTTGCCATTCATACCTACGGGCTGCCGCCCTAAACCTAGTCCTGGTAGGTGGGGTAACGGAAAACATAGATTTACCGTATGTATGAACGTAGAAAAAAATGTTTCATTCAAACAAGATAATCTAACTGAGATAGTTTTGAACAAAAATGTTTATTCGCACTTTTTCTGTGGAATAAATCGTCCTCTCAAAAACAACGCTTGAAGCGACCACCAATTTCGAATGTCAGTTGCAAGCGCGAAATCATTTTTTTTAAATAAAATGTGTATCAACTCAACGTTAAAAATTCGATATATTTTAATCAGAATGTCCTATCGACAAAAATCGAAATAGGTTTGAAAGATAAAGAGTGCACATTTTGTATCTATACAATTTTTGTAATTTGCCGCAAATGGAGTAAGTTTCTGTGAAGCTTTTAAATACATAAACGTTGCCCGATTTTTGCCATTTTTTATTATTCTCATGACATCACTCAAATTTATCACTTATATTGACTATGTGGTCTATGAATAGTGTCTGGTTTACCTATACGTAACAAAACAAGACATAAGATATAAAACACATTTTTTTTTGTTACAAACTATGTAGGTTCCATTATCACGTACATGTAAATCTAGAACTAAATTCGTAAAGATGAATATGATCAATACATCATAGGATAAAAGCCTCATTAGTAGCATATTTTCCTAATACATATTTCATTCAGTCTATTTTTTATTGTGATTGTCAGTATTTTATCAGTACATTGAGGATAGCTGTTTCTGCAGAATGGTCTCTCACTTTTTAAACATAATACTGCTTCTGACCATTATTTTGACATTTTTTTCATCCTCTTCTTTTGTTAGCATATTATCACTTAGTATCTCGTCATAATACTCTTTCTATTTCTCCAAAACTTTAATATAATCTGTTAGTAGATCTGCTTGATTAGTTTTGTAAAACATATGTTGAGCCTGGAAACCTCTTCTTTCTTTCTTAAGGTCTGCGTAAACGTGTGTCATTTGTTCTAATATCACTGTGGGTATTATGAGTATAGCTCTTGTGCTTCCTTTAAATAATTACGAAAATATTGTCTATAAAACAGATATTTATAGTGAAAGAAATGCTGAATCGGCATTTTCAATGGTTCAGTGCCCAATCAGTTTTGGCAACAACTATAAGACATTTCAAATATGCCTAAAAACTTTCACATCAAAAACGATCAAAAAGGTTAGGATTGCTTGTTTCCCATTGTATAAGTATGTTTTTCGAAACTACACTTCAGCTACAAATTTACCATCTTTGTGGAAGCATTTCCCGTGACGAGAGATTGTTTGTAATGTAAAAGTCTAAATTCAGTGTTTTTAGGCTCAAATATGTCTCATATTTGTTGCCAAAACTCAAAATCGAAGTTGATATTAGGTTTTGAAGATTAGACTCTAACAAAGGAAGTTTCACAGCGACCGATCAATGAAAATGATAAAATTTAGTGATCTGATACATATTTTATTTAAAAAATTGATTTCGTGCTCGCAACACACATTCAAAATCTCCGGTCGCTCTAGCGTTGTTTTTGAGAGAACGGTTCTTTCTACAGAAAAAGTGCTACAAAACATTTTTGGTCAAAATTATCTTAGCTACAGTTTGATTGAAACATTTTTCTCTACGTCGTATAGATTATTGGTAAATCAATGTTCTCCGTCCCTCCCCTGCGAGGTGGTTTTTAGTAGGAAGTTCAGAGGTAGAAGTGGCAAACCTTTTTGCATCTTTTTGTGATCCCAAAATTGACATTCTCAACAAAATTCAACTTTGGTTGTTTATATTTTTAGAGATAAAATCTCTGACGACTGGACTACTAGGTTAATGAACACATAAAATCTGGAAAAGCATAATCTGCTAACGATTGGATATAATCTTACAGAAAAACCAGAAAGCATAAATACCCGTGCTGTCTCCTCAATTTTATCATTACGATTTATAAAGTTTTCGGCAGATAAACTATATTTAAAATTTAACAAAAAGATATTTAGTTTTTGTTAAATATATCACTGTAAGATATTAGGCAACTAATATAACCATTAGAACAATACAAAAGAGTATTTTTTATATAAAGAGATAGGATTTTTAATAATTCGAAAATTTTTTCGTGTTTTTAACTGCAACACAAAATGAATTTATTATAAAACGATAAATATATTTATATTGAACTATAAAAACGTGCTTCTTAATAAATCTAAATTACTAGCTACTGTTATTTGAAATATTTTAATTCAATTTAATCATTCATTGGCGTTTGCCATTAAAAAAACACCTTGCTACTTAAGTGTGTTCGATAGTGTACAATGGCATAAAACAAGCATATTCAATGGAATTTACAAATAAAATTATACTGGTTCTTAAACAATTTTCTTGTAGCATTTTTTTTCACTGAATATTTTTACGGAATAAATCCAGCTAGATAAAGACGATAGTTTGATATTCAGAACGAAACTGAAGGAACCACCTATAATGGAGCTATTAACATTGTGAATTGACAGTCATTTTAGTTATCTCCAATACTTGCAGATATATTCACAGAAGAATTTGAAACAATTAATACGTCCAAACAACAGTATGGTAGAGGTATGTAGATGATGTGTTATCCATATGGCCTCGTGGACTAGAAAAATTGTACAAATTCTTGAAGGACGTCCACCATAAAGAAGAATTAAGCAAAAGGAAAACAATAACTATCATTTCTAGACGTGATTAAAAAATCCTGAAACATGTACAAGGAGCGATTCGAAAAAAAAACAATACCGTACACAAAAGGCTTATCAGAAAAATTATAAGAGTATGAAATAAGTCTAACATCATAACAACATTCAAAACAACCAACGCACAACATGTGTATACAGCAGATGATAATTTGATCGATCTCAGATAGTAACTAAGGAAACTGCAATTTTAGTAGATGAAGCAAATTGTATAGCAAATTCATCAATAGAATATAGTAAGATATGGTTCCCAATACTGAAAGAAGAGGTTACCAATAAGATTATAATTATAAACAATAATGAGTTTGCAGCAAGTCATAAACACATATATAACCAATAAGAACAAAATATTCAATTACCGATATACACATAAGATAATAATTTGATATCAACCGTGAGGATAAACACATTTTAAGACTGTCAGCCTTTAAAAGTACAAACATAGCTAATGCCACCAAGACCGAGGCCAAGTAAGGCTAACTGTCAAATATCTTTCACCGCCAATTGAAAATAATATTGATAGGTTTTCCTGAAGCAAAACAAAAGTGTCTTCCTTATCGAGCAATAAGACAAAAGAGGGAATCTAATCCTTATGAAAAGGAGACCAAAAAAGTGGCCTCTGATGGCGGACATATCCGGAAATGCGAATGCGCCAAATTTAAATTTTCCGACACTTATCAACAGTAGCTATATAATATTTCGCAGAATGTGTCTTAGACGAGAAAGTTTTAATTAATTATTAATGATAAGAGTCTAAAATGCGACACAATTGTTAAAAAACTTCAATTAAATAAGAATTTCATGTGACATTTGGGACAAACTATAACATAACCCAATAAATTTGATGTCAAACAAGGAAAGAGACTATCTTTTCTTGTTTTATGTGGCCTCATCGAGCAATAAGACAAAAGATGGGAATCTAATCGTTATAAAAAGGAGACCAAAAAAGTGGCCTCTGATGGCGGACACATCCGGAAATGGCAAAAGGCGCTTAATTTAAATTTTCCAACATTTGTTAAACAATAGCTATTAAAATATTTTTCAGACTAGAAAGTTTTAATTAAATATTAACGATAATAGTCTAAAAATGTGACAATAATTGGTAAATAACTTCAATATAAATAAAATTTCATGTGACAGTTGGACAAAACAATAACATAACCAAACTAAATTTGACTTCTTAAACAAGGAAAGAGACTGTCTATCCTTGTCTAAAGTGGCCTCTCAAGGATGGGCACATTCCTGTCGTATCATATATGTTTACCCCTTCTACCTTTACATTCCCTCTTTTGTCTTATTGCTCGATGTGTGGGCCTCTAAAAGATCGCCACTTCTGTCTAACAATATGTTTGCCCCCCACTACCTTTTACATTCCCCTATAATGTCTTTTTGCTCGATGGTCTTCCCTCGAAGTAAACTGGGTAAATTGTCAAGGACATAAGCCCAAAAAAGAAGAAGACTATTTATAGGTTAAATAAATTTCTCAATATTTTTAATTCAGAATTTTTAAAAATTCAGAAAATATAAATAATTACCCAACCTAACCTATCTTTTAACCACTAATGTCCTGTCCAAGATGCCAAATTCCCAGATAGACCTTACATAGCTTAATAGATGGAACAAGAAAAATCTATATCATAATGACATAAAATGTATTTTAGAATATCCACTATAAATTGTCCAAAATAGTTGAAGGGAATATGGTTATTTCCAGAATCTCTGTGAGTAGCCCTTCTATAATTGAAATAAAAATATATACATGAGCTGGCCACGTACCTAAGAGGTGGAGGCCATAAAACGAAAGAAGAAGATGAATTCAGAATTTTTTTTTTATAGGAAATCAAAACGTCAACATAAAACAAACACTGCCATCTTTACTACAATTCATTGTGTCTTACTCTCATTAAAAATATCCAGCAAAATTATACTAGTTACATAGTTATTTGAATACCTATGATGAGACAAGGAAGAGTATAGGTAGTGAAATATATAGAAACGGTAGTGGGCTATAAGAGAGATCGTGGTATTAAAAATATTAACGAATATTTAGAAAAAAAAAAAGGAGGTCGTGAGAGTGGTAGTTAGGGAAAGAGAAGTTAGGGAGACAGAAATAGTAAAACTTATTATATGTGTGAGTTAATACATATCAATACAGACAAGTTTGTAAAGAAATATTCAAAGATAATAATGATAGAATGGTTCCGCTTGTTTTTTAATCGGATCAAAGATATAATTTAATTGGTTTTTCTTAAATGACCATAATAAAAATAAATTTGCTGTAATTAACTTAAGTATAATTACCTCTGGTTCCATTTTGATCATTTCTGGAGATCCATTTGTAGTACTGTTCGGTTTGTCCTTTTCCTTTTGAGCCTTCTTTTCTTTTCGCTTTACTGCACATTGCACTTCGGGTACCACGCATTCTGGCCGCATTCCAACACTCAAACATTTTTTCAGACGACATTCCTGACATTTCCGCCTCATGTACATATCAATCTCACAATGGTTGCCATATTTACATTGATATACCGCATTTTTAGTAATACTTCTCCTAAAGAAACCTGCAGCAAAAATTAAAGATTAATAAAAAGAATAACTACTACTGGAATAAAATGAACTTTAGTGCAAGAGCAATGGATGTCCGAGCCCAAAATTGATCAGTTTCCCGTTTAAATCTCCATTAGAAAATCTGAGGTTTCAAAATACCAAATCACTTGCAAAGTATAAAAATCGTTTAATAGCGATAAAAATCGATTCAAAATCGCTCGTTATATAACATTTTTTAAGCGATAAAAATCGATTGAAAATTGATCGTTTTTTAACGTTTTTTAAGTCGAATACAATAATCGATTGAAGGTCGATCGTTTACACTTATTTTTACTGCGGTTAAAAACTTCTATTTTTAACGATTTTAGGTGTTTTTTTTAATAAACAACCGCGTCAAGCATTTAAAAACTTTTTTCCAGGCGAAAGTCAAATATTTTAAATAAAACAACCTGTATAAATAAAAAAAGAAATCAATTATTCCCTGTACCTGAAGTTAATAAAATATACTTTTGGTGATAACTGTGGTATAATATTAAAATTAATACTTTACGTATTTCTTCCACTGTGTTTATCTTTTCACCTCTCTCCAGTTTCGTTTTTTTTTAATTAGTTTTTTTTTCGATTCTTCTCTTTTGTTCGAAATATTTTTTGTGTTAATTTTTAAAAGGCGGGTATGATCGTTTTCTTGATTTTCTTATTTGCGTCATTTAGGGATCCGAAGGAATAGACAAATAATTGAAAGAAAGAAACCTAGAAGAGAACCTATGGAACGACCGGACGAAGTGGCGACTGGAAGTTATAAAACCGAGCAAAACGTTATAAACCGACATTGTAGTGTCATTTAAGAACAAAGCAAGCAAGTAATTTAATTAAACCCAGCCTGAGAGATTTCTCTCAGTTCGACCCTTGAAAGAATTTCCGAGTGTAACAATTCATTGGAGCGAGGTGTATCCTCATATCGGTCAGCCTGACTTGTTGCAGTTCTCTCAATAGAAAACGAACGAGACGTAGCTCGGTACGTTGACTGCTTCTCTTATGCGGCTGTTTGGTGAGCCTGCTTGGATCTCCTTCTAAGTTGTTGACGTATCCCCATGCGAGAGCTGCGTATGTTTATATCAATATCGGTAATACTATTTATTTAATCTCATCTTTGTTTTCGTTTTTTGTTTGCTTCTTCTACCTGCGAGTCCTCTTATTGACGCTTTTGCCACATTGAATTTTTGTATTATGGCGTCTACGTGTTTTTTGAAGGACAATCCTTTGTCTATTATTACTCCCAGATATTTAGCTTCGCTTTCCATTGGATAGGATTATTTTGCACTGTCAATTGTTCCTTTGGCTGTTGATGTCTGTTTTTGAAGAGCATTGCTTGCGTTTTTTTTGCGCTTATTGCGATTTTCCATTGTCTACTCCATTCTTCGATGTTGTCCAACGCTGTTTGCAGGTTGTTACTGCTATATCTACATTTCTATGTTTGGCCGCTATCGCCGTGTCTTCGACATAAAGGGTAAGTAGAGTTCCAGGTGATCTTGGAACATCGGCGGTGTATATTGTATACAGCAGTGGAGACAGGACTGCTCCCTGTAGTACTCCAGCCTCCGGGTTTCCGAGTTCAGACAGAACTTGTCCTATTCGAACTCTAAAGCTCCGGTTGTCGAAGTATTTAAGGATCCTTGTTGATCAATATTATATTTTTCAGTAACGGAAAACAGGTCACATCTGTAACAACTTCTAGCAGAAGTTTTGAAGAATTTATAATAAAGTCGATTATGTCTTTGTTTGTACTATTTGGACTTATCCATGTCCAACTTCCTTTTTTCTTTTTCTCGAAATACGGTATTGTTCACAATAAAAGGATTCCTGCGTAATTTCTGTGTATCAGTTCTTGACCTTGTTGCTTTCTGTCTCCTATTCCGAATTTTCCCTTTGACACTTTTGCATGATAGTCACATATTTGTAATGTTTTCATATGATTTGTGATGTGATATTTTTTTCTATAGTCCCTGCCTTCATATCGTTTTTATATTTATCTTTATCTTTCATAGTTACATGTTGGGAAGTAGACTTTTCAATAGATTTGTAGTACAATGGGCGGCTCCTAGTTATTGTTATTATTATTTACCCTTATATTTTTCTTCGTTCCTCTAACTTTTGCAACTCATATGTACTCCCATGTTTTTGATCTTAATTCGTATTCCATTTACTTAGGCTACACCAAATAGGAACAATTGTGATTGATATTATTATTTATATCTTCCCATTTTATTGCCAATCTGTAAATCCTGGAATATTTGTTGCGAATATTTGGTTACACTTTTTAATAATACTGATTCATTATTTCATGGTTCAGTATAAAAAAATATTAAAATATTAAATGATAAATGTGAATTAACACAACAAAAAAAATCTAGTTAAATTCTTAGAAATTAAAAAGATGTGTGGAAAAAGGGGACTTTTATTTTCTGACCCATCTAGCTGTAAAACACATATGGCTCATGATACTGAACATTGTTCTCTGGTATATACGGAAAATTTACATATATTTTAATACTTTATTCCCTACTTCTTCACAGTTATTTAATTTTGCTTTTTTTATTATATTGTAGAGTGTAAATTTAAGTTTTAAAGGAAATATGTTATCCAGTTCAAATGGATCTTGTAGCTCTGACACAAAACAGCCAATTAGATTTTACATATTAATCTGATAATAAACTATTAAAAAAAGGCATATATTTCCTTTCCAGCTTAACGACACTTAATTTGGATTAAATTCATTTAAAATAAAAGAACTTACCTTTACATCCTTCGCATGTAAGTGCATTGTAATGATATCCTGATGCTCTATCGCCGCATACCAGACACAATTCTTCTTGTTGCCTCGGTGTTGGTCCTTTCTTCTTTTTGGAATCACAACTGTCAGCACTGTATCCGTTTAGACTGTTTGGTGGAGAAAGATCTTCACGACCTGTAAAAAAATGTATTATTAGTCCAAAATATGTAAAATGCGTAAAAAGTGACAAAATATATGTGTAAACATTTTGTATACAAGACGCTAAAAGTACTACCACCTGCCAAAATTGTACCACTTATTCAAGTGGAGAAAAAGTAATATAGGAAGAAACATTCTTTTTTTAGGAATCCGATTTATTATGTTATTATGTTGTAAAATAATACTGTTTTTCCTAAAAGGGAATATTTAAGTTCCAAAAAGATAGATCATTAGTAATGTAATTAATACTGCAACATTTATTCTCTAAACTTTAGGAGACGAGTGTAAAAGATAAGAAAGAACTTAAGCATTAACCTTGTAATAATAACCAAACAGCATGTTTTTCGTCGGATATGTACTTATGCGCTTGATAGTCAATGTATAATAAATAATACCAAGATACAGTTAAAGAAACACTGTATCACCCTGTATATGATAAACCTTAGAATCCAACATAAAAGCGATGTTTTTCAACTGGTTTATAACGAAACCGGTCTCTCTTTCTCTCCCTCTCTCTCACGCTCGTGAGTACTCGCATGCACACATGCACTCTCGACTTTGTAAATTCCACTCTCCATCATAAAAGGAAAACAAAAGATACTCGAAAAGTGCGCCTAGACACGACGATGGCGAAGTCAAGGACGATCCATACATAGATTCTGTCACCAGATAGATTGTTAGCAGCGCGTTGCTCTCCTAACATAGGAATAATCATTTTCGTGGTTGCAAAATACAATATACGATTAAATAAATCATATCTTACTTGCACTTCTTATTAAGGCAGAAATGGGTTCGGACTTGATTGAATCACGATTTGAAAATTATGCGGGCACGATATGTGTGTTATCTTACCATATTTCATCAATATTAACATATCTACAAGTTTAGATAATATGGTAAATAATTACGAAGGAAAATCATAAAACATTCGCAATTTTAGCCTAGTGCTATTACGTTTATTGGAGCTGTGCAGTTACAATAAAATCAATCTATATCATTTCATTTTTCTTTTGACATTAGATAAGGAAGAATGCATTAACAATCTATCATTTTCTAATAAATAAATGGAAAATGTCTGGAACTAAAAAAATACTGCGTGATATTACAGTAAACTAATATTTAAGGAACTTACATTTACATTTACAATTTACATTTTTCGGAACTAAACACTCCAATATATCACTGTTCCTTATTTCTTTAATAGTACAATTCCGTTCGACTGTTGTAACAGAAAAATCACAGATTCACTCTAGTCATTTAATAAAAAAAAATTATAAACTATACATTTTCACAAACAAACTATAATATAGTTATAAAACATTCGAATTATGGGCCTACAGAAGAATGTTATGAATAATTTGGGTTGATCGTGTCAGAAATGTCGAGGGATTGAGAAGAATGAGAAAGAGAGGGAGGTGTTGAATACCATTAAAATTAGAAAGTTTCATTTGGGACATGAGAGGTGAACGTTACAATCTGCTTTAAGTGATAATACAGGAAAAAATACAAGGAATTAGAACTCGAGGGAGAAGACGTATCCCGTAATTGAATAATTTGAGTGTGCGGTTTAGATATGGCTACATTGAACTATTAGAGCAATAACATCCAACATGCGTATTTCCGCGATGATTTCCAACTTTAGAGGAGATGGCACATGAAGGAGAAACATTTTAAAACTATTTTTTTTTTAATTTAATGGTTGTCTCACAGAATGCTTTTTTGGGTTATGCTATTGGGCCTGGTGATAGGGTAAATATTTTAAACTCCGAAACCGGTCGCTCAAGTTACAATGTTTTGAAGAAGTAGTTCCACTGGATTACTAAAAAACTGGTGAAAAGTTAAAGAATTCAGAAGTCATTATACACGATTCCATTACTGAATTTAAGATTTGATGAACTCTATGTGTTTGAAACAACTTTTAGTTTCTGTCAACGATTTCAACGATTCTAAGATCTGTCCATTGCTTGCGAACTTTCATTGCTCTTGAGCTGTATTAAACTCTCGTGCATAAGCAGCAAAGAAGAACTTTAATCTCGTTTATATTTTAGCATTTTCTATATTTCTGTTTTAAAGAAAACAAAAACTTATAAACCAGTCAAGTTATATATGTTTACATCATGTACTGTTGCGTGAAACTGTGTAAAATCCCAAATAAAAAACTTTTATTGCATAGCCCACCCTAATTGCGATATATGCATTAGATATAAAATAGACCAGATAGCTAAGGGGGCAGGCGATCGACTCGGATTTCGCTAAAGCGTGGGGTGCGTTCGAATCCTGGACCGGTGTACAGAAAAATAAAAAGGTTAACAAAGTAGTTTAAAACTCTAAATGAATCTGCTACTTAAACTAGAATTCGCTGGTTTCTGGCCGGCCTACGGTTGAGCAGTATGACAAGAAATGTCAGCAGTGAAGAACAATGGAATGGGGTGAAACCCCTTTGACACTGTAACTTGAAGAAGATATTAGTCATTTGTGTGGAGAAACGAAAAAGCTAGGATGTTAACTATTCCATATATTACAGGAACATTCCCTTCCCCCTTCTCCCATTTTAACCAATACCAATTGGAAAAGACATACTTATTACAAAGTAAGTAACTTAAATGTGAAGTAATCATTTTCAGTTGATAAAAGCAATCCAGTTTAACAAAATAAATGATCGTCAAGATCAACGAATCTTATAACATGTAAAAAAATTTTCATATGTAAATAGATTTGTTAAGTTGTAATTCTAATATATGTATACACTTAAATTTTAACACAGAAGCGTGAAAAGCCGCCTGGCAATGTTAAATAATCATCAGAAGATCAAAAATACACGTGACACATTTCAAAATTGAACAAACACAGTAACATTCAGTAATACAATTAGTTAAACATTAACTAATGAGAAATTTCGATAGTAATAGCTAAACAATTGAAATTCAATGCATGTCTTTTATTGTTAAACAGCCAGCCGTCATTGTGCTAATCTTACAGCTGGATGAAAGCTACGCAGAACGGAATCAAGAATCAACAGGTAGGGGAAAAGAGAGAAGCCGCGAAACTTTGAATATTAGGTAGTGTCTAAGACACCGGCAATTCAATGTGAAAATGTATCTATTTCGTGACTAATATTGGTTAATATAAAAACAATTATTTTAAATGATTTAATTAACTTATTTGTGAATTTAGAGAGAAGACAGAAAATTGGCAGTAAAAATTCTATCAAGGTCTCTGAAAAGTAAAGTTAAGGTTTAATCTTGAGTTAATTAAATGAGTAAAAATTTTTACTAAGATGATCAAAATTATATAAGCTGTTCCCGCTGGAAGATGTTAAGAATTTGACACAATTTTACAGAATGTGTGTAACATTCATTTAATTAGTGACTATTACTACACAATAACAATCAATTTTTAATAAGATGATCAACAATTATCTAAGATCTAAGCTGTTAATGGTTAAAGATGTTTAAGAATGTGAAACATTACAAGAAATGTATGTAAAAATATCATTGTGCAATAATAACAGCAATGTTAAGGGGGGTCTAATCGATTTTTGAAGCTACCCAAGTATATTATGAGAAAAGACAGAAGAAGGTAATACAGAATTCTGTCCAAAAACTCGACAAGAGGAATTTAGGGTTATTTATTATGTAAAATCAAAGAATGATACAACAATTCAATCAAGACAAGAAACCCTATAAACTACATTATTGATTTTGACATTAGCCGTTCCTCCTTGTGAATATTATATATATTCATATAAAATTTATTAGTATAATAATATATATATTTATAATATATTATATATATATGATATATATATAATATATATATATATAATATTATATAAATATTATATATATTTATATTATTTATATATGATATATAAATATATATATATTTATATATAAATATATATATATATATATATATATATATATGACAAGTTTGATAAAATATAACTAATTTACAACTACTATTATACAACTATTACACAAGATTTACAGCTATTTGAATCACCCAGTATGATATGACCATGACACTTTCAGTAATAATAATTAACCAGATGACCAGCAACAGGTGACGAAATTGTAATTCATTTGTTTATGAAACACGAATGCGCATAAATGCACTAAACAAATATAGATCTTGCATTATATTTATTTATATATTCTTTTGAAAATAAAAAAAACACTGGGAAGGTCATAAAATTAAATAGAAAAATGTCGTAAATGGCGTAAATAGAGATATATATAGAAGCTATTTAAAAAACTGTTACGTGTAAAAAGTATTAGACTAAATTTGACATAAGTATCCAACCAGTAGTTTAAGTTAAGGATAACATAGAGGTAGTTTATCTAGAAAATATTGAGAATTTTATATTTTTCCTCTTTTTAATATCTTTTATGGTCAAAATCGCATGAAACTACCATCTGTCAATTTTTGGTTGTAAACGTGAAAAAAATGTCAAAATTAAATAAAAGGAAAGTGAAGGAATATTTATATAGAAAATAAGTTTTATGGGTTGAGTATGAGTTTTATGGACCTTGATAACCAAAGAATTCATGTTTCCTGGACTCCATGTGGATTTTTTAAATTATTAACAATTTAATGCCAAAAATTGATCTCAGTATTAGCCTACCAGTTAACATCAGCAATTTGTTATCTTATTCTGACAAATCTATATATAATATTCTAATCAAGTTTTTAAACGATTCTAAAATAAAAATTTAAACATCCTTATAACAATTTTCTGTGGCAAAAAGATTCTTTGTCTAATGCCATCACTATCTCTCTATCTCTCCCTCTCTCTCTCTCCTCTCTCTCTCTCCTCTCTCTCCCTCTCTCTCTCACACACACACACACACGAACCAACACACACACACACACACACACACACACACACAAAATTTTACAAACCACTACGACTACCTACTTTCTCGTCTACCACTAAAAAGTGAGTATTTTTATATTAGTTTGTTGTTTCAATG